ATCTACCTGAGGGAGCCCCCGTTACACCCCCATCAGCTTCAATTCCTCTTCTGCCCGTTACTTTTAAATTTTCTTACAAATGCCATTACACTCTTTGATCTCTATCAAGAGCAGTTAATGGCTGACTATCTAGATCAATTTCGCAGTGCTGAGCTCACTACAGATTTTGCTCTTAGTGATCTTGAAAGATATTTGAACAGTCAAGGTTCAAAATTAGCTGATTTTGGCTTACCTCAACCTGAGCAGCACACATCCTTGCTACAACTTGAGCAAGCCAGCAGCTCTAGTCAATATACTTATCTTACTTCGAAATACCAAGAGGACGAATTATCGCTTTCAAACGAACAACTCGATATATACCATACCATTTTGGAGTCTTTCTATACACCATCAGTTGAGCGAAGACAGACTTGCTTTTTTATTGAAGGCAAGGCTGGTTGTGGCAAGAGTTATACAGCAAATGTATTGGTTAATAGGCTTCGGAGTGAGGGATATATTGTATTAGTTGTAGGCTCGACTGCATTGAGTGTTACTCAATATGACCGGGGACGAACTGCCCATTCAGCTTTTGGTATTCCAGTTACTGAGGTAAAGTCATTATTCACTTTACTTTTGTTCTTTTATTACCTTTATATAAGGTGTTTAATTTATTATTTAACTATTATAAAAAATATGAAATAGTACTATCAAGTTACCTAAACTGGATTATTGAGGCTAATATTCAAATTGTTAACCTACAGAATCATATGGAGTTACAGTCCAGAATTGGGCCACATTCAGACCATGCACAGTTCCGACGAAATGTCGATATCATATTTTGGGAGGAGTTACCAATGTCAAATTGAGCTGCTATCGAATGTACAAATACTTTACTACAACTCTTAATAGGTAGTACCAAGCCATTTGGTGGAAAGATTGTTATAGGACTAGGGGACTTTCGCCCGCCGCCAAGTAGCTCCAGTAGTAAAGAATGGTGGTCCAACAGTATCTCTTGATGCTTCAGTTCGATCATCATGGCTTTGGAAACACTTTCAAATCCTTCGTCTACATCAACCAGTCCGCAATGCTCAAGATCCAACTTATTCAGAATGGGTTGATTCAATTGGTGAGGACTTCTCAAATAGTGGTACAACCGATTTGCCTTTGATTAGTAGACTTGATTCATATGACGAAATCACAGACTTTCTTTTTCCTAACTCTATACTTTTCAATCCATTTGATGTTTGTCAGAGGTCCTTTTTGAGTCCTTTAAATATTTATGTTGATGAATTTAATCTTCAAATGCTTGATAAAATTCCATTTATGACAGGTAAGCTTTTCAAATCCTTCCCTCCGAGAATTAAAATCTTTCTCTGACAAATGATATATATTTGCTTATAATTAAATAATATTAAGATGCTAATCGGAAAATATTATATATAGAATATAAATACTTCAGTTATAATAGTATAAAGGACTCAGATGGAGAAGCCAGACAGGGAGAAGGAGATGGGAGATCTCCGAATATGGCTCTGAGAGGTCAGATTTCAACTCCAGGATTTCTTCATGAACTTCAGGAGCCTGGAGTACCACCACACGAACTTCGGTTGAAGGAGTCAGCAATTTGTGTGCTAATATGAAACCTGTCATTGGAGGAAGGATTGGTTAAGAATGCAAGAGTGGTAATAACTAAGCTTTTGGAAAATGTTATTGAGGTACAGTTAGTTGGAGGTGAGAGAAGGCAGGGGAAAAAGTTTCATCTTCCAAGAATTATATTTGAATTTCAGCCACGATATTGCTCTTGGACAATGCAACGAAAGCAGTTTCCTCTCCGATTAGCATATGCAACTACCTTTAATAGTTGCCAGGGTTTAACCTTGAACAGAGCTGTGATTGACCTACGAGTAGCACCTTTTACACATGGGCAACTGTATACAAGTATTTCAAGAGTTAGACATTGGGATGATATTCGTTCATTCTTTGATTCTGAAAATGAGAAAGGTGTTACAACTAATATTGTATATCATGATTTGTTACTATTAGATAAGTAGAAATAGGAGAAGGTAAATATGTTATTTTATTGTTTAGTGGTAGTATAGTTTATGTTTGCTATTAAAATATATAATAATAATTAAAAAACAGGATTTTGGTAACATAAACATAGCGAAAAGCAAAGATAGAATATATGCCTATCAGGAGAATTGACTAAGATTCAGATCAAGTATATGGAAGAAATATGGTATTGTTGGGCTAAATACCAGCTAGACAATAGTATAATATATGTCTCTATCAAACCAGTATTGAAATAGTTGATAATCGTTCCCTAGGTAGTACACGAGTGATACTAATGTTCAATAGCAGATTCCTCCACAACCACGTATCTAATCCCATGAACGATTGATGAATATTGTTGTACTCAACACCAGCTATATAACGGTATAAGCTATATCTTTATCTGATTAGTATTGAAAGAGTTGACATTGATTTTCTGGGTAGTCCCTCACTATTTATACCCAGGCAGTACCAATGTTCAATAGCAGGTTTCTCAACAACCATTTATCCAATCCCATAAACGATTAATGAATATTGTTTAGCTCAATACCAGCTACACAATAGTATAAGATATATCTCTATCCAGCCACTATTGAAATAGTTGATATTCGTTCCCTGTGTAGTATAATAGTGGTACTAATGTTCTCTGGCAGATTCCTCCACAACCACTTATCTAATCCCCTGAACAATTGATGAATATTGTTGTACTCAATACTAGCTACATAATGGTATAAGCTATGTCTCTATCTGATGAGTATTGAATGAGTTGACATTTATTCTCTGGGCCATTTGTTACTATTCGTACCCTGGCGATATCAATGTTCAATAGCAGATTCCTCCACAACCACTCATCCAATCCCATGAACGATTGATGATTATTGTTTGGCTCAATACTAGCTACACAATAGTATAAGATATATCTCTATCCGGCCAGTATTGAAATAGTTAATATTCATTCTCTGTGTAGTTCACTA